CATGTATATATAGAGTTCTCACCAAGTCTGTTGCAGTCTCGTGTTTCATGTCGCATTGCTCGATACGTCGGGAAAAGTGAAAACGCTCGCACTTGCGTGATAACCATTCGCGTCGCTCCCCCGTGTTTTCAAGCTAGAAAAACTTTACAGACGTTCGACAGCTCACGGCGGGAGAAAATTCTCCCGAGGGATGACATCGAAGCGTGCGACCGTTTTTTATTCCCTAACAAGAGGCGAGACACACGACAACAACGACAGCGACGGCGGTTGCTATAATACTCTATGTAGTAACAAAACTGAAGATCCGCGAAAGTCGTGTCGAGAATTTGTGTGCTACTTGCGTGTTTTCCAACACGCTCATTTTGGTACACGGTAATAACGCAGGACGAGGTAACCCAGGGTCCGGAAAACGATTAGGAACGCCAATAGTACTGCCGTGTTTGCCCACCATGGTAGACCGGAACCCTTGCCCCCGCCTTGACTCTCCAAAATCGCGGAAACGGATATCGTCGTGCCGTTTCTGCACTCGGCGAATTTACTCGGCTGCGAGCATCTGTTGAAAAGAGATTATCCGCTTGTCAAGTATAACGTTGTCTAAGAGATGATTTTTCATCGAATGTTTTAGAATACAATAATTAGAATACAACAATTCATAATTCGTCATCACTCAATCAATCAAAGAATATAACTTTAATTGCGTACGTATAATTTTGCGTATTTTGTTTCACATATCTGTATATTTGATTTTTCGTGAATTATATTTAAAAAAATATTTCCTTTACTTGAATTACTTTTTCTTTGAAAGAACAATAATTTTCTTCATTTCTACATGTCGTCAAATGTAAGATTCAATTATCATTTTCAAAATTCACTAAATTTTACACAGTCATTTACTGGTCTATTTCTATTCTGATCTTTCGTTCAAAGAAATATATTATCAATTTTTTCAGCAGCTATTATTCGTTTCCATGAAATAAAATTTTTATTTCAACCACAATACGCGAAAAGACAGACGTAACGATATATAAATGAAAAATATAATCTTACGCTATTGGTTCGCCAACACCGAACTCCAGAATCTGCATATTTTGATAGGCATAATGCATCATACTGATGTACCTAGCCCACGCTAACCATGGTGGAACCGACGTCGCCAAATAACCGCCTAAAAGCTGCGTCGACAGTGTGTAGAGCGCGGACACGGTGATGCCCACCTGCAGATCTTCGCAGCAAGCGCCCACAAAAAATCCGACACTCTGTAAAGCATCATAAAATTGAGGAGCTGGACGCAATAAAAACCGACTTACGTCGAACAATTGAATAACCAGCCATCACTCTCCACCTGGTCGATACCTTTCGAGAATGGCAAGGTACGTACCCTCGTGTATTTCGGTGCAAATTCCCAATCTCGGCTCGAGATAAGCCGAAAGCGCTTGAAAGCGCCTATATATATTTAGCACTTTCCAATAATGTAAAAATAGTAATAAAACACAGCTGTGATTATCGATTACGTGTATTACTTTCAATACAAACGACTATTGTAAATTTATATTGTGTGAGGAATAAATATCGCTTATATCACGGGTTTCAAATCAGTAATTCTTCTTCTTACGTAAATTTTGATATTTGGGTAATGCTATATTGTGTAAATGTGTTGATAAGTAGTTTCTTTCGATCTAGTTACTACAATAGCTTTTTGAGAGCAACAGATAGCTATATTTTTGTATTCAATTCATACATAGTTTTATATCTTTTTTTTTTTTTTCGTAAAAGTAACAATAGAATTATTATAATTTCCTTCTTCTCTCTGATGTAACATGTTTTAAAACAGGTATCATATATTTCAATAAAATGCTCATGTTAGATGTTTACTATTTTACATTATTTTAAAATATGTGCGAAAATTTTTATTTAAAGTTTTTATGATTAAAATCTTGATTTTTTTATTGACTATAATTATACTTAATGTATTGATTCGATATATTCAGAATTTCCCTCACTTTAACAAATATTATCACATTACATTACCAGAAAATTAAGGGTTAAAATCAAATTTTTTATTGCTTTTCCATGAGCGATAATTGAAAGAATTGTCTGATAGATCAATGTTACGATGACAAAAATTATATTACATTCTGAGGGTTAATTACACAATTATTGGCGAGGTGGCCGATATTTTTCGAATTTCAATCAATATCTGAGCATTGTCCAAATCGATACTAATATCCTTTCTATCTATGTTGATACGTGTCAATAAAAGTAAAAATTCCGATACTTATCAATCCTTGTGTATATAATTATTTTGCATATAGATAATTATCAAAATTACGCTTTGTGTGTGGTATATACAATATATACTAGTTATTGTTTATTCGCAAATTTCGATTCAGCTCAACGTTTCAGTGTAACTGAATGGAATATTTAGATGCATAAATCAAAACTAAAATTCTATTAAATTCCATTCTGAATCAAAGTTTTTCTTTCGAAATGACATACAATAAAAGAATCATTTATCCGATATATCTAATATTAGATACGATCGAACAGGAAATTGTATACCTGTGCGACTACAGTGTTGAGTAGCAAGAACGCGAGCAGCGTGATGAAGACTGCTATACTATGGAAGCCCAACATCGGGTAACTAATTACATGGTAGACTGCGGGCAGCGTTACCGTCAGCGGCAGCTCGCCCACCATCTTCGCCAGGTAGTAGGCCGAGAGCCGATAGGATCCTGACAGGCGTTCCTTGTTGATTACCTCACGCTCCGGGGGAACTGGCAAAAATATTGTCGTCATTATTTTCAGAATCATCCCCACGTAGGATTTATGCAGGGTACGTCGCTTATAAGTTATAACAAGTTGGGGATAATGTCTAAAATCGGTTTTACAATCAATCCATTACGAGCGATGCGTTTAACGTTTCATTTCGGACTGTTTCCGCTTTCTGCGAGATAAGAGGTTATAAAATGACAGAATCTCAATCTTCCAGTAAGAATTTTTCATAAATCTATTTCATAAATGAATTACATGACTCGATAACCGACGTGCGTCCGTGTTTCATTTCTTCTTTTTTCTTCTCAACTTTGAATTTTCAAATCTCGGATAGCAGTATCATGATTTGTCTAAAATTTGTTTAAACTTGATACAAATTACAAGAGGCACGTTTCATCTAATGTCTTCATTTATTATTTTATTATTTCCGAGCACTTTTCTCAGTTTCATGTTGTTTTGTGAAAAGGATATATAGATATATATTTATTATTTTACAAGCATATATTTGTGTCTGCGCGCTAATTATCGGAGAAACATGAATTTAAAGACCTCCTTTACTGAACACATATTAGGTCATGGCATTCCACACGTGCTAATTCTTGATCGAACATTCTCCGATCCTTTGATGATAAAAGTGAGCCTTACTGAGAGAACGGCTGATTAAATATGATAAAGCCCAATTATTCAATCAATTCCACCTGGTTTTCAAGCATTTTAAAATAAAGTTGAAATTAATGAAAAAGTTCTGAGGGCATAAATTTCATTAACTGAAAAAACAGATTTCATGATCGAATGCTTCAAGTTGAAATCGCAAATGAATATTTTAATTATTAATTTAGACAATTTACACAATTACATTTCCGTGTAACTATTTTGTTGGCTCCCCGCAAATTTGATATTTTATAACTTTGTTTCGTCCAAATGTCTAATTAATGCAGGTATTGTCAAGATAATCAGTCTAGCCTCGACAATGGATATTTCCCCTTTTGTGATGGAATTTCAGTTACAAAAGCGTAAATGAGAATTAAATTTAACTCACAGCTAGTGAGCGCTCCAAAATGTGCAAAAAGCATCCAGTATGTGTTGCTGAAGAACATCCACCCCTGAATATCGTGAATGGCTGCTTCAGTTCTGGGAAGACCCAGCCATAAAAGTCCAGTTAGAAGCCCGAGAGCTACCGTTTGCAGCCAGTGAAGACGCGACAACATTCGTGGTCGTGCCTCTCGAAAATTTCTTTCCGATAATACCTGAAATCAAAGGGAAACATTCTGTTTGTACAAATGAACGCAGAGTTTTGTAGAATCTCGTCGTAAATTTGCACCAAATTGTTAACGTAATAAATTTAAGAGTTCATTTGTGTGATTCTGATCATATGCACAAAAGTTTTTCGTTAAAAACTCGGGACAATGTTTAAATATTGGGCTACTTAACGTATAAAATTGTAATATATAAAATTAAGATATTGTATGGATTATTTCACGATACATCAATTTTATAATAATACACGTTACACACGCACGCACGCACGCACGCACGCACGCACACACACAGAGATTAATATCCCCAGAATGACTCGATTATATCA